CAAGTTCCCCGGGCCTAGCCAATTCCCTGCCCTCACGGGGCTCGTAGAGAGAAGCTAGGCCTCTGGTCTGCCATCTACCCCGCCTCAAAGGGGCTCGTGGGGATGGCAGTCTTATGAGCTGCAGATGGTAGCAAGCTCAGGTCTCTCTTTAGACAAACTCTACTCTTGGTCAGAAAAGTGGCAGATGCAGTTCAATGTAGATAAATGCAAGGTTCTGAAGCTCGGGAGTGTCCACAACCCTAGCACTTATAAGTTAAATAATGTAGAACTTAGCCATACAGATTGCGAAAAGGACTTGGGGGTTATGGTAAGCAGCAACCTTAAGCCAAGACAGCAATGCCTAAGCGTACGTAATAAGGCAAATAGATTACTGGGATTTATATCAAGAAGTGTAAGCAACAGAAGTCCAGAGGTCATACTGCAGCTTTATACATCATTAGTAAGGCCTCACCTAGATTATGCAGCTCAATTCTGGTCTCCATATTACAGAATGGACATAATTCGTTAGAAAACATTCAGCGTAGGATGACTAAATTAATACATAGCATTAGAAATCTTCCTTATGAAGAAAGATTGAAGACTCTTAAGTTACATTCACTTGTTAGACGAAGAATGAGGGGAGACCTGATCGAAGTGTATAAGTGGAAGATAGGTATTAATAAAGGGGATATTAATAAGGTCTTGAGGATGTCTCTCCAAGAGAGAACCCGCAGTAATGGATTTAAATTAGATAAGTTTAGATTTAGAAAGGACATAGGAAAGCATTGGTTTGGAAATAGGGTAGTTGATGAGTGGAACAGTCTACCTAGTTGGGTTATTGAGGCTAGGACTTTGGGTAGTTTCAAATTTAGGTTGGATAAGTACATGAGTGGGAGGGGTTGGATTTGAGTGGGACTTGCACATCGGAGCTTATTTCTTGGGTAGCATTGAAAGTTGGGTTGGTCAATGAATTGTAAAGGACCTGCCTAGTATGGGCCAACAGGCCTGCTGCAGTGTTCCTCCTTTCTTATGTTCTTATGTTATTATGTAACAACCCAGGAACACTGCAGGAGAGCTGTTGACCCATGGAGGCAAGACAAAATCCTTATAGTACAGACTGCACCTGGGTAGAAGACAGGAAAGGCAATGAAAATACAGGAGAGGAGATAATGATCAGGTCAAGTCACGAGTGTTGTGAAGTTATTACAATTGAAACTAAGCGCTAAGCCCACAAGGGTCATAGGGGTTTTGAGGGTAGAGCATTTAATGTACTGAGAAAAAGAGGCATCTACAGAGACAAAGTCAGAACTAAGATTCATATTAGAAAAGTTGTGTATAAGGGATGCTTCAACAAGACGGCGACTGTGAAGGCTGGAGGGTAAACAGTTTTGGCAGAGGACCAGTTAATAGGATGACTGTGATCTATAACATGACAGAAAAGAACATTGTTAGTGTCGGCAAGTCTAACACTTCTTGTGTGCTCTTTAAGTCTGTAAGAGTGATCAGTTTCACGAAAGTACTGGAGAGGACAAGATATGATATTTTTTAAATAATGCTAGTAGTAGTTGAGAGAAAACCCACATGCTGACGTGACGTTTTGATGATAATTATAACTAATGCTATTACATATATAGTTGAGAGCTAAACCTGTAGAGGTCATATAAGAAAAGGAATTGCAGGATCAAGGTTCTCTGACCAGTATCAAGGCACTCTCCTCCAAGGAAATAAACCATAAAAAGTAATTCACTATACATTTCAACCTCACACACACACACACACACAGATCAGTTTTACAGGATAAGAACTGTTTTCCTACCTCAACTATTTCAGAGTTCAATCTCATCTCAGATATACCAGCATCCACTGGGATTCCCCCCCCCCCGTAATAGTCGACCAACACCCAGGAACCTACTTACTGCTAGGTGATCAGGGGCAACAGGTATAAGTAATCATCCTCATTATGAAGCTCATTCCTATGTGTTTAGCTTACAGTTTAAGAGGGTTGGTCTGAGACATCGGTGACAATTATCCCTGCAACTATTAACAGACATACTCTCACCAAAATTTATAACGTTGTGAAGACAAAAGTTGTGGTGGCAGCAGCAGCAGCAGTGTTGACGACCACGTTCAGATCAGCAGTGCTGTCCAACTGACATCAGTAGTTGTAGTGAGGAGGAGACAATCTCGCTCTCAACAACGAAAGCTTAACCTTGTGTCCCAACTGTTTCATGGCGCAGACTTCGATCTCTTGCTATTTTTTCCTTCTTATAATATGAACTTAGTAACGTGTTTTCTTTTCTAAATATATTTTTTTCTACTTCCAAGGGATCCACATTCTGTTAAACTTGTCACAAAGTGTATGGGTGTGTAGGGAAGGGGGTTCCCCCGAACACAAAGAACCCTGACGTCTTCTTATGAGACACGTATTCACAAGCGCATACAAGTGTAAAAACACAAACATGTGCAGATTGTGAAAGTGTTTCCAAGAAGTCACGTATACACAATTGTGAACAAGTGTATGAATAGTCACGTACGAAGGCCTGGTTGTGGACTGGGCAACGGGGACGTTGATCCCCGGAATACCCCTCCAGGTAGGTAGAATATACCCTCAAGCTGAAGGAATCTTACAGGAGACAAGAATCACAGGAAGAACTAAGAGTCATAAAGAAAATTGAAAAGCTCAAAATACTTTTTCTCTTATGCCAAATCTAAAGGAAAAACAACATCAGTATTGGGCCCCTGCTTAAGCGGAATGGGACATACACAGATGACAGCCAAGAAGTGAGTGAGATATTGAAGTCCCAATACGACTCAGTGTTCAGTGAGCCGCTGCCCAGACTAAGGGTCGATAATCCATTATGAACGAAACCCAAAATTTGGTCATCTCAAAAATCTTGGATATTATCCTAACTCCACAAGACTTTGAAAAGGCAATAAATGACATGCCCAAGCACTCTACTCCAGGCCCAGACTCGTGGAACTTCGTGTTCATCAAGAACTGCAAGAAGCCCCTATCACGTGCCTTCAGCATTCTATGGAGAGGGAGCATGGACACAGGGGTCATCCCACACACACTAAAAGCAACAGACATAGCCCCACTCCACAAAGGTGGCAGTAAAGCAATTGCAAAGAACTACAGACACATAGCACTAACATCCCATATGATAAAAATCTTTGAGAGGGTTCTAAGAAGCAAAATCGCCAACCACCTAGATGCCCATCAGTTACACAACCCAGGGCAACATGGATTTAAAGCAGGTCGCTCCTGCCTGTCTCAGCTACTGGACCACTATGACAAGGTCCTGGATGCTGTAGAGGATAAACAAAATACAGATGTAGTACACAAAAAACACTTGATAAAGGAATAACAGGAAAAGTTGATAGATGGTTCAATAACTTCCTGTCAAATAGAACACAAAAAGTAATATTAAACAGAGCAGTCTTAGGCAGCCACAATGAAAAGCTCTGTTCCTCAAGGCACAGTACTCGCTCCGATCTGTACCTGATCCTCATCCTTTGCGGGTGACATCCAGATTGCTATGGCATTGATCTCCATTGAAGACACCGCGAGTCTCCAAGCTGACATCAACGAAATCTTCAAATAGGCCACTCAAAATAATGTGAAGTTCAATGAGGAGAAATTTCAACTTCTCAGATATGGAAAACTTGAGGAAATTAAAAATGTATCGGGTATACGACAAATTCTAACCTTACAATAGAGCGATAAAGAAATGTGAAGGACCTGGAAGTGATAATGTCAGAGGATCTCGCCTTCAAAGACCACAACAATGTATCTACCTCATCTGCTAGGAAAATGATAATGAGAACCTTCAAAACTAGGGACGCCAAGCCCATGATGATTCTCTTCAAATTGCTTGTGCTCTCTTGGCTGGAATACTGCTGTACACTAACGGCCCCTTTCAAGGCTGGCGACACTGCAGACCTGGAGAGTGTACAAAGAACTTTTACGGCACATTTAGGTACGATAAAGCACCTAAATTGCTGGGAACGGTTGAAGGTCCTTGATCTGTATTCCTTAGAATGCAGGCGAGAGAGATACATGATAATATTCACTTGGAAGGTCCTGGAGGGATTGGTATCAAACCTGCACACGAAAATCACTCCATATGGAAACAAAAAATTCGGCAGGAGATGCAACATTCCCCCGATGAAAAGCAGGAGAATCAAGAGTACACTGAGAGACAACACTAAGTGTCCGGGGACCAAGACTGTTCAGTTGCCTCCCAGCATACATAAGGGGGATTACCAATAGACCCCTGGCTGTCTTCAAGAAGGCACTGGACAGGCACCTAAAGTCAGTACCTGACCAACCGGGCTGTGGTTCGTGCGTTAGTTTGCGTGCGGCCAGCAGTAACAGCCTGGCTTATCAGACCCTGATCCACCATGAGGACTGGTCTCAGACCGGGCCGCGGGGGCGTTGACCCCGAAACCCTCTCCAGGTAAACTCCAGGTAATAGTTTTTTGCCTGCAGTTTAAAGGCGGCAGAAGGAAGGGGGTGATGGAGCCCCGCTGTTTACACACGTTTTAACTGTAAATAACTAGTAGCAGTGAATTAGTAAGTTTTGGTAATATTCTGCAATAATAACGTGGCCTAACTTTACGTACCTGGTAAAGGTATATTGGTGTATGTTTCTTTTTTTGTAATAGTGTTGTGTTATATATAGTCTGAGTTAATATATTATTGTACTTCTGTATATGTTAGTTTATCTGCCATCCCTTGATAATCAACAACGTGAATTTATCTATCATTCCTGATAAGAATATTGACCATCCAGTTAAAGCTTTTGGTGAAGAAACAAGCTTGGCTGTAGGTTAATTTTTATTTAGTATTTAAAATGTCCTTAGACAAAGTTTTTACCCCCTAAGCGCCAGTATTTATTTGCGAAATAATTTAAATGCGTTACAATGCCTACCAGAGGCTTGAGGGATTGCATTCGAGGCTGCGGTTAAAAGTGACGAGAAAAATAGTTGAAACAGGCCAGCAGGGACGGCAACGAGAGAGTTCTTCACTAAAAACAGTAAAGGGCTCAATTCTGCCGTTCAAACTGCTTTTGTGGGCTATGAGGAGGTCGAGAACGCGAATGAGAAGAGAGAAAAATGATCGCTGTCATGTGAATCAAGGAAGACAGACCAGATAAAGTCGAGTGCTGATGAAGAGAAGCAAATTAAGAGAACTGTGCAAGAGAGAGTTTGAGCGCCAGGGTCAAAATGAGTGGGATTACATGTATATAAAACAAGGAGGGGAAGAGAAGTGAGAGAAGCTCCTTAAGGAGGTAGAAAAGAACTCAGAAATTGCTAGCGCACTCAGCTTACAAACTGAGGTCCGGGGGTCGATCCCCGGTATGGGTGAAATCATTAGGATGTGTTTACCTAAGACATCTGCTGTCCATGTTCGCATACCAGTAAAATAGGTACCTGGGTGATAGTCGAAAGGTGTGGGTCGCATCCTGGGGACAAAATTGACCTAATTTGCCCGAAATGCTCTGAATAACAAGGGGCTTTCTATACAACAGTATGTAATTGATGTCAACTAGGCCTGTATACCTTGTAAACCTGGGGTATACCTGGAGAGGTATACCCCACTCTGAAAGAATAGAGAAATTCCAAGCGCTTTCGTGACTACTCACATTATCAAGGAACTATGAAAGTAAAGCATACAAGGAAGGTATATAAGGGGTCTGGCCAACACCTCACTATCAGATCCCACAACGGTTAAACACCTGACGCGCGCCGGCCCAACTGGACAGGTCCTTTGCACAATCCACCAACAAACTATTCTACCCAAGAAAATTTTTAAAATTATTATTTGTCAGTGTATTATTAAATTCTTCCCAAATTCTATTAATTATGAATGGATCTAATTTATATAAACCAAAGGAAATATTCATATTATTGTCAAAACTGCTTTTTATGAAACAAGATTCAATTATATTCCTGTCGACCATGGACTTGCTTGATGCAACTTTCTCAACTTTTTGAAAATCAATTGGATGGTTAAAATCTCTTACATGAATAAATAGAGCATTGGAATCTTGTCCAGTTCTAATGCTATATTTATGTTGTTTTAATCTTAGTTTGAGATTTTTACCAGTTTGACCGTAATAAACTTTATCGCAAATTTTACAAGGAATCTTATAGACACATCCATCAGCATTTTTTTTTTAATTTTCTTGGGTAGAATAGTTTGTTGGTGGGTTGTGCAAAGGACCTGTCCAGTTGGGCCGGCGCGCGTCAGGTGTTTAACCGTTGTGGGATCTGATAGTGAGGTGTTGGCCAGACCCCTTATATACCTTCCTTGGATGCTTTACTTTCATAGTTCCTTGATAATGCGAGTTGTCACGAAAGCGCTTGGAATTTCTCTATTCTTTCAGAGTGGTTCTTTTGCATATTCTGAAATCCCCTGTCCACTGTGATCTTATTGTATATATATATATATATATATATATATATATATATATATATATAATATATTTATATATATATATATATATATATATATATATATATATATATATATATATATATATATATATACCTTGGTGACTTCGAAGCAATACAAGATCCTAGCTAACCAGTGATGTTTCCGAGTGAGAGAATCTGCTCCAGTGCCAACTCACTGCAGTACTAGCCTACATACATCCAGATGGGATGGCCCCCATTCCTAAAAAAGGGCGTATCAAAATGCTTAGGACCGCCACATTCACCAGGAAGATTGCCCATCTCCAAGTCGTGAACAAACATCACTCTTGGGACTTCCTCCTATCTGTTCCCACTTCAGCTATGGTAACATACCTCGACCCACAGACCTTCCACATCGCAGTGGCTCTCCGCCTCACTGCCCAAATTCACAAGAAATTTACGTGTATTTGCGGCAAAACGCATGCTAACCAATGTGGTCTACATTATCTAAATTGCTCCAAAACCAATGGTTGGCACACAAGACGCTATGAAGTCAATGACATCATAAAGAGGAACCTTGCTACAGATGGATGCCTAGCTGAGAGAAAGCCCCAATCCCTACAACAATATTCACAATCCTGCAAACCGCCCAGGCAGGA